TGGTGCTGCTGGTCCCATCCAGTTTTTTGGGAATCTTCCCACCACTCACGCTCACGTTCTGGTGCTGGAAACAGAAATGTGGGAGCTCGGTTCCAAGTCGCGCTCGCCTGCAGCTGAGATGGCTCATGCTGTAGCGGTTCCTGCTGCTTTTACCGGGATTAAATCCCGCTGGTGCCTGCTCTGCGCTGCCCCAGCGCTGTGTGACAGGATGTGCCCATGAACGGGACGGGAACATCCTGAGCGTTCGGGGCGCCGCAGACCCGCAGGGCTCACAAACGACATCTCAGAGATTTTCTCTCCCAACGTGTTCCAGGCCTCTGCGAGCGCAAGATGGGCAGAGAGGAACTTGGAGAGAGTGGCGGGGCTGCAGGGAGACAGCCAATTAAAGGGGTTGTTAATGAGCTACAGCAAGGAAGGGACTGCGCTGTCGGGGAAGGGAGCTGGGAACGCAGCGTGGAGGTGGTGGAACGCTCAGACCCGGCTTTGCCGCCCTCTTGCAAGGAGCACACGGATCTGAGCGTGCTGAGGGCTCTTCCAGAAGCAGGCACGGCTGGGCTGGGGCTGGATGGATGCTCCTTGTGCTGYGGGGCACCACTCCCTGAGCCCTGAGCTGCCGGAGCGGTTCGGGGTGAGCAGAGTCAGCTGGATCCACAGGGATGGGCTCGGGATGCTGCTGCCAACGTGGTGAGATCACCCTGTGCCAGCTGGAGGGGCAGGAGGAGCTGATCTGGGGACAAACCACCTGGTCACGGTGCCCAGGAGGGCTGGGAACCTGCTCAGGGTGCAGGAGGAGCTGATCTGGGGACAAACCGCCCAGTCATGGTGCCCAGGAGGGCTGGGAACCCATTCTGGGGGTGCAGGAGGAGCTGATCTGGGACAAACTGCCTGGTCATGGTGCCCAGGAGGGCTGGGAGCCCGTTCTGGGGGTGCCCAGGAGGGAAATCACCGTTGGGGCAGCGGGATGCTCTGCAGGAAGGGCACAGCTGGGTTTGGTTTGGTGCTGGTGGCAGAGAATCCCTGAGATCCCCTGCCTGTGACACGGGGATGTTTAGGAATCAGACCATCCCATAATGGTTTGGGTGGAAAGGACACTCCAATCCCATTTCATCCCATCCCCTGCCCTGGCAGRRRCRCCTTCAGCTATCCCAGGGTGCTCCAGCCCTGTCCAGCCTGGCCCTGGRCACCACCAGGGATGGGCAGTTCTGGATGTCACTTGGTCGGTGCCAAACACCCCTGTCCCCACTGAAGGTGGCCTTGAGGACACCTTGAGCAGGTCCTTTCGGTGTCAGGGTGGCTGCYSAGGTYGCTGTGGGTCCCTACAAACCAGGGYGTCTATTCCTTCTGCACTKCCATTTTTTAGGGTCRGGGTTTGCTGACTCTGTGTGTTTTCYCCCCTCTCTGTTCCCTCTCCTTTCCTCTAATAATGCATCTTCAAAATAATAGGGAATGGTGGATTTTTTCCCCCCTGGGGCAGTGTGGAGCTGCTTCTCAGTAATCTGCTGGAGGCTTGGGCAGAGTGGGAGTGGAATTGATTGTGTGGGTTTTTTTCCTTCCTGCTCCAAGACCACTTCTTGGCACTGAGGAGTTTTTCTTTAGACTTCTTTGGGGAACAGATGCGTGAAGTACAGTTACCACTCATGCATATGGCTTTTAAAATATGGAAGCTGTTGGACTGAAGTGGCTTCATATGGTGCTGTTGGAGGATGAGAATTAACACGGAATTTTGGGTTTTTGAGACTTGAAAGTTGGGTTTTTAAACTGGTTTTTTTTTTTTTTCCCTAAATAATGTTAAGGATTGATCTGCATTTTACAGTTATTAATCAAAGCAACATTTATAACTCTGAAAATGACTCTCTGTGCAACCCTTCGTGCCCAAAATAGCATTGYAGTGTAATCCAGGGGCTAAACAGGTTAGAGAATGTGTAATTAAAATGGTCGTTAATCTCAATTCGCTAACGTGGACACCTTTTCCTTTAATTGCAGGTTCCCATCTTGAAAGCCATCAGAAGATCCCGTGCCACCCTCTTGGATTACTCCCCACACAGCTCAGCATGCCACCGTGCCCTGGATTTTATGAGGTGGCCATGATTTGATTTTTTTTTTTGCCCCCCCTGCCGTTCCTATGTTCTGTTGAAGCGCTGGAGCTCTGTCGAGCTGCTCTGTCCCGTGGAACCCGAGCCGTGTCCAATCCCTCCTCCCAAGGACTCAGCATCGCCAGCAATGAGCTCCCAAAGCCATCCAGGTAAGGGCAGAGCCRCCTGGAATTCCAGAAAAATCACCTTTTACACCTTGGGAATGACTATCCACACCCCCTCCCCTGCTTTGGTCAAAATTCCTGTGTGAAGGAGGGCAGTRGTGTCCTGTTCCAGCTTTCTGATTGTTCTAAAATTCACGTTTCTAGAACTGTTGGTGTTTTCTGAGCCGTTAAGCAGGTGTTTAATTGGTTAAATCTCTGCTGACGAGCCTTAATGACACGGAGCATGGTGTCTTTATTGATATTTAAGCAAACTCTTTGACTTTTAAAGCGCTTTTTAATAGTTTTGCTGGCACAGAAGTCAATGGATCCACCTCAGTGCCGGCTGGGGGAATATTCCTGATGTGTCTTGGAATTTGAGGCGTGATTCATCACTACCAAACTGTGCATTTCTGCCTGTCMGGAGAATCTGGAGCTGCTCTTGAGCTTAAAGGTGCCTCAGATGTTTATATTTAGGGAATTTTGGGCAACTTCTGTGCTAGGCATGGCTTTATAAGGGGAATTTYAATTTTTCTTGGGCTGGTTTAGGGTACAGTAATGGCTGCTGGGAAGCAAATAATCCAACAGCAATAACCAGGCACGTGGAAGGATTTATTACACTGTGCCTCTGAGAGATTACTSCGTGACTTCACTTTAATCAGGTCTGGGTTAACGAGCGAGGCTGAGGTGCTAAAAGCCAGAGAGCAGCTCCTGAGGTTTGAGGGAGAAGAAATCCTGCAGGAAATAGGGGTGCTGGAATTTGCAGGCAGCACTGTTAAACCTGACCCTCTCCTCGCCACTGAAATGGGTCTCTAAGTCTCTAAAACGAATTGTCAAAAAAGGGGGGGAAAAGTGGCCTCTACATCCATAATTCAGCAGTTTCCTGGATTTGGAAAGGTGCTGGTGGCACTGTGAGGAGTTGGGAAAGTTGAGTGAGCGCAGGTAGGTGTTCACCAGGGACACATCTCGCAAAGTGATGTTTTTCAGGAGCTCTGGACACTGGATAATCGTTATTTCAGTGTTTTCCCACCTCAGGGGTGAGGCTGGGGAGCTGTGGCTGCCTGCTTTCCTCTCCCTGTGGTGAGATGCCCTAAGCACCCAGCCCAAACCCGGCTGTGGGTGCTGCTCTGATCCTTCAGGAGCAGCTCTGCAGAGCTTTGGGAAGCGGTTTGCCCTGCCTGGCTGGGTTTTTGTGCAGTGGAAGCCCTGCTGCTGCTCTGCCTGGCTTCCCTTTAGAACTCATCACGGAGCCCTTCATTCTCCTGCCTCTCTCTGCTGGTTCTGCAGCTCTAAAAATCAATTTGAGCTCCCTTTTTCCAGCAGCCCTGTCCAGAAGGGTGGGCTGACCAACACCCAGGGGTGTGGTGGCGATGCAGGACGAGGMTGGACATCTGGACATCCCTGTGCCCATCCTGGCTGCTGCTTCTGACCCTGCTCACATTCCCAAGGGTTGCTTTGGGGTTCTGCACTGTCCCATGGTGCTTTCCCAGTCCAGTGCTGTGTGTGAGGGGCAGAAACGCTCCCCAGCCCTGGGCAGCGATGCCATCTGTGCTTCTCATGTCAGTTATGGCAGCCATGTCCATTATCCAGCTCCAGGTAATTACTGCTAATGATGTGCATTGTTTAAGGCAAGGCTCTGGCTTAACTCGAGAGCCTATTAAGCCCTGCTTCAGTGGGTTCCAGCTTTCTTCTCTAATCTTCTCCGAGCCCGGCACTAATGGGATGTTTTAGGAGCTGTGCCATGAAATTGTTGCAGTGCAGATGAATGGAAGTGGTTTGGGTTGGGTTTTTTTTTTCCCTGCGCTTTTTGGATTTTTGGTTTTTTTTTTTTTCCTTTTGCTCTGGAAAGCTTTTGTGAGAGGCATTGGGTGCTGAGGGCTTCTTCTCCCTGGGCAAGTGGGGAAAAAATATGGAAGGGATGAAGTTGACAGAAAAGTGTGACTTCTTCCCCCATCACTCCTTCTCTTGTTGTAGTTTGGAGTCAGGTTTCTCGGGGATTAAGGAATAGCTCTTGGAGAAGAAAGGAGAAAGTTTCCAGTGGCTAAATCTGTCTGGACACGGGGTGAAGACCTCGAGCTTTGTTTTCTGGGCTCTTTCCATGGTCTCCTCCTTGAGTTTTGGGCTGGAATCAGCATTCCACGTGCCCTTGCCTTGCCACAGGAGGAGCTGGAGAAGCTGATGGTGTCCATCCTGCCATCAGCACCATCCCAATGTGGTGCCCACTGCTCCAGAGGAACCCCCAGCTCCCTGCAGCTGGGGAAAGGGGCTGAACCTGTCTTTTCCCTGCTGCTGGCAGCAGGAGAATGCGGAGATCCAGTGGAGACCGAGCYGGGAGGCGTCACGTGCCCTTGGGCTCCTCCAGCGCTGGAACAAAGCTGGAGAAAAAAAAAAAAGTGCTGAAACTGTGCTGCAAAGGCTCAAGTTGCTGCAAAGTATAATTAAGAAAATTAGGCTAATTAAGATAACATTTAGGATTATGACAAAGCTTGGGGGGGGCAGGGGAAAGYGCGTTTGGTTTCACTCCTTAACCTGTTAACATTGGCCACAAGTTGAGCTCGCCTCATGTAACCCAGGCTGACTGGGTTCTGGGTRCCTGTGGGGCTTTTTATAGGGTTTCTTTTTATAGGGTTTTCTTTTCATGTTTTGGGGTTTTTTCCCCCCCTCTCTTACTGACCTTAAATGATTCCTTGCAGTCTCCTTCCGCCTCCCCCCTTAATTTTCAGTGGCTTGAGTTTCACTGCTGTTGGCTTCCTTAATCAGTAAAGATTGTTCTGCTGATACTGGTTATACATAAAGATTAGTTCTGAAAAACCAAAACACTTGGAGTTAATCACTCAACTGATTCGTGTTTGTTTAAAGTTCACTTTCCCTTTGTAAAAGCTGCAAATCTCCATGTTCAACRGAGCATTTTGTTTATGAAACGTTATCTTGCAGGAATTAGCCGGTCTGAATGCAAATGCTCCATCCTTTCTTCGGGGCGCCGAGATGCAAATTTCAGCTGCGCTTGAATGTTCCGTAATTAGGAATATTGAAGTTTGGAGAATGAGCTGCCTGGCTGCTGGGGGGAAATGTGCAGCAGGGATCGTTTGGGCTACGAGGAGAGGACGGGAGAGAGCTCCGGGATCACGCGGCACYGGGAAAACGAGTTAGGGAGCCACGTCCCGTGATTTTCCAGGCAGATAAGGACTTTTGTACGGGGTTTTATCTGCAGCCAGGCACTCTGCTGTGGTGCTGCACGGCCCAGCCAGGCATGGAGAGCCATTCCGTGCCGAGCTCCCCCCGTCAGCATCCCTGCCCACGTTCCGCGCCGCCCCATAAATATTTGATGCGCTCCCTTTTGAAAGATTAAGGAGTTTCTGTGGAGATGYGTTTGCAGCCGGCTTTAAATGACACTGACCTACTTTCTGGCAGCGGTGAGGCTGGCTGGGGGAGTTATCTGGGGGCAGGAGCATCATTTCAAACCAGCACCGGGGCTGTGGGGGCAGCTCCAGCCCTCCTGGGGTGGGTGGGTTCCACTCGGTGGCTGTGGAAGAACATCTGGACGTGGTGTGTCACATTGGGATGCTTGGGGTTGGCAGGGACCTTAAATACCATCCCATCCTATCCCGTCGCATCCCGTCGCATCCCGTTCCATCCCGTCCCATCCTATCCCATCCCATCCCATCCCATCCCATCCCATGGATCCCATCCCATCCCACCCCAGGGACACCTCCCACCATCCCAGGTTGCTCCAGCCCTGTCCAGCCTGGCCTGGAGCACTCCCAGTGAGCCCTTACCAGTCTGCTACTCTGGTTTGATTGGATCATCCCGGACTGGGAATTCAGAGGCTTTTCACCTGCGCAGCCTGGACCCCAGTTTGGCTGTGGGGTAAACTCAGCAACTGCTCAGAAGAGCTGGAAAGTGCAGCAGATGGCACTGGGCACGTCTCCATTCCCTTTCCTTTCCACCCATTGCTGCTCTCACCTAGGAGGGAGCTGAGCTGTCCTGGATTTCCTCTAGGAATGGTGTCATTTTGAGGTCCTTGAAAGTTTCAAGTCTGCTCCTGCTAAACCTGTGAAGTTTTCACTTTCTGGAGCATCAAATGGTCGGGACTTGCTGTACAAGGGTTTTATCGCGCCCTCAAAAGAGAAGAATTGTTTTGTGCTTCAGCTTGGGGTTCAAGCTGAAGTTCCTGCTAGGTCAGTGTCCCTGCCAAGTACGTTCCTCTCATTTCTGCTCTTTCTTTAAATGCAGTTCTTGCACTTAGGAATTCTTTCAAAGCCTCTTTCTAAAGTAAGTTTTTTTAGCCTGTGATGTTTCCTGCAGAGCGAAGATGAGAAGCGGGTACTTGTGATGAGAAGCAGAGAACTCTGGATTATTTTGAATGAGGTGCAGGGTAGGCAAAGGATATAAAAAAAAAGGTCACTTTTAAAGTCAGGTGATTCCATAATAATGTTTGAGACAGTCCTTGGGATCTTGTGTCTCACCTGGGAAGGAGACAAACCTTTTTTTGTCAAGTTATTACATTTTTGTTGCTCACTTTTGGTCAACTCCCGTTTGCCCAGTGTCTCATCTCATGTGAGCTTCCCCAAATTAAATTCATTTCTGGCCTTAACAACGAATATTTTCTCAGGGTTTGTTTTCATTTATTCGTATTTTATATTATTACTATTATTTAAAATATTTTAATTATTTAAATTGTCACCTCTGTGGCTGACCAGAGAACAGAAAATTGTGGARTTGTTGATTTTCCCATCCTTCAGTGAGGGCTTTGTGAGTCCCTTTCTCCCCACAGCTTGCCATGGACCAGGAATTCCCCCCMCACACTTTTATTTACTTATTTTATGATTTCTCTTTAGGCCATAAAGCAGGAAAGGCCTTGACACCTGCCAGGTTTGAGGTACCAGGAGCAGCCAAACTCTGAGAAACGGGGCGCTCAGTTCTCCCATTAAGAAAACTGAAATTAATCCAGCAGATCTTGTCAAGGTTTTGTTTCCATAACCAAAATTACTTAAATTAGTCTTTTTTTG